ATATTAAGATAAAATACAAAGTTAAAAAAATTCCAAAAATATATGACTCATACTGTATATTTTGTAACTTCTGGCAACTATTATACTATAGCTAGATAATTATTATAATACAACATCTTTTATTAATGAATTATAATTTCAATACTTATTGAATTAACATATGAACTGGTTTTTTATAAGAAACAATGCTTAACAGATTGTGATATCAAATATCATATTAATTTTATTCAACTGTTTTTATTGAAAGTTAAATTGATACCTTGTAACCTGATATATGGAACACTAATTACTGTGCTATTGATCCATAGGTCTTTTTTATAAAATTTAAAAAACTACAATTTGAAAAAGGTCTTGCTTAAAAAAAAAAAGTATAATGAATTTGATTATATGAACTTTTTTATTAATTAGATAAATTCACATATCAAATGGGATTTATATAGAAAGTGAAAATCTTATTACTAGTTTAAATCACTTAACTTATTAGGTTACTCTTGACTGCTTGCAAAGGAAAAAAATCACATAAATATTATTATAAAGATTAACCCAAGCCATCCCAATTAGCGTTTATTATTAATTCTCAAAGATATTATGGATATAAAGTAGAGATGTCATTTTTAATTCATAATATTATTAATTGAATAATATTTATATATTTTATTTAAAAAATCCAAAGCACCTATTTATTTATAGTTAAATGTATGTGTATAAATAACAGTAATGCTGATAAAAAATAAAGTTCTAATTTGAGTTTGAAAGAGACTTTAATATGATTGATTTTAGTTAGTTTATTGGTGAGAAACCAATTTATTGTTAAGAAACCGATGGCTAATTTCAGAGAGAAACCGATGATCTTTGAGTTTGTTTGGCATATGTATATAGTAGAACCAATATTTTGAGAGAATTTCGTTAGTTTTTGTAGACACTTGGACCTAATATTTGACACCTCTTGACTTGTTTCTAATTTTCATATATCATACTCCCTGTGCAGCTCCAATGACATGGTAACAAAAATTGTTCGAAGAAAAAAATGAAGTAAAAATTTCAGAAACCAATATGTTTGCGTTTCATTCATTAAGAAATATCGCGAGTTTCCAATCGCAATCAATAGAATATTACGTTCGGAAAAACTAATTTGTATGAAAATTATTTTTATTATTAGTTTTTCAATGCGCGATATAAATTAAAATGAAATACTGTATATGTATGTATGATACACTCAAGAAGGATATACATGGTTAGCATCACAATTTAGATTAGATATACTATATATAAACAGTAAATTGATCTAGTCCGTAATAATGCAAATAAAATACAATAGACCTACAATTATTTCTTTTGTATTAATTCGTAAATGCGTTAGTTCGATTGATATTCAGATTTACTAACGTAATTTAACCGGTCACTTACTTAATATCTCCAAATATAACCCGTTTGCCAATCTATTCCGGAGAATCAATACCGCAAGAGGGCTCGGATCGAAAAATTTGCTAAAAATAATGGATAAATAGTTCATGCACAAAAAAATTATTTTTTTTTTTATCCCACACCAATAAAGTGGAATCGTGTTCTCGGAGTAAATATAATCATTGTATGCTGTAGCTGAGACATTATTTTTTCCGAGATTTTCCGTACTCTATGGCTGACTTTGTGGTTTTCAGTCATAGAAAATGCTATTTATATTTAACTTACTTAATCATATATTAAAAATTCAATTTGTTAAAAAAAAAAATTAAAAAATTTTTTTGAATTACCAATCTATTATTTATTTATTTTTCTATTTATCATTGTTAATAAAAATAAAAAATTAATAGAAAGATCTATTTACACACTGCATTTAATTATCGAATTTACAATATATCAGATCAAGTTATAAAAAAAAATAGGATCAAAAAATCAAATTCTATCTTAATTTATAAGTAATAATTTAATTGTAAATTTAAATTACATTTGTTTGTGTAATATTAGAATTATAAAATTTAAATTACGTTGGTTTGTCTAAGAATTCAGAGTTTTTTTAATATCAAATATAAAAACTTGAACCAATTTTATTAAAAAATTAATATAAAATTAATTTGTTATATTTACAAAATTTTTATTTAATGTTATTGTATTTTAAATTAAACAAAAAAATGTTATTTGAATGTAATAAATTTTTGTACAATAGTATAAAAAAATTGTAAAAAATACAAATTTTTTAAAAAAGATGTTTTAAAAATATTTTATATACTTGAACTAAAATTTGATTAAATCAATCATATTTTTATGATCAATTAATATGTAATTAATAAATTTTAAAATTTTGTAAAAATGATTTATTTATATTTATTTTATACACGTGTTTTTATTACAAAACAGTATTAAAAGAAAATTTACTTAATTGTCAAAAAATACTTAATCATCAATTGTTATTTTGAAGTTATAAATAATAAATTTTTATTATCTGTAAAACTATTCGTTTTGAGATGTTCAAGAAAACAATATTATAACACCAATTGAAAACATTAAGATAGTATTTTCAATATCAAAAGCGTCAAAAGTATTTACTGTATATATAGAATTCGAAATATACATATATTATTTTAAGAGAAAAAAAATTAAATTCGTAGATTTTACAAGAATGGAAACCGATTGTCCATTGAAGAACAAAAGAAATTTCGTTTTCGTCGACATAATTTAAATTAACTTGTTAATACGTATGCACAAAGTATTATAAGTTCGCTTTGGATGCTAATACTCATATGCTCGCGGCGCGGTCATGTACATCTGTAATACGAAGCCACATGCACCTTCATGTATCGGTGCTGTACGTTTTTTTTTTTTTTTTTGCAAGATTCATATTACATAATTCACGCCTATATATCACATTGAAAGTATTCACAGATGTCGATAATTTTAATAAAAACAGGCAGAAAGTAATACTACATGAAAAAAATTCGCTTAAATAGTTGTAATAGTAGAAACTTTTAGACTCTATAATAATAGGTGTTTTACGATTATTGGTCAAAAAAACTTTTCTTTCTTTTGTCATTCCCATGAGCATCACTGTCACTCTTCCTTCTAATCTTTTTCAGTATACTCATTCTTTTAACAATACTTCTCACGGTGCCAGTTTGATTATCATGAGATCCGGACCTGGATCTTCGGCGGTATAACATTTTGGCCATATCCTTATATCCTAAATTCGTGGCTAATCTAACGGCCATTCCTTCATCACAGTCAACGTTTGCATTATGAGAAAGCAGAAGTTCCGTGAGGTCCCAATTATGGTTAATAACACTGAGAGTCAAGGGCCGTCCATTGTCAGCGTTGGGATCTGCCCCGGAATCTAAGAATAGTACAATGATATCCTTCCTAGCGCGCTCATTGTCTTGGTCATTGGAGAGATTTTGTAGGTAGCATTGTATACTAAATTCCAAGAGACTAGTAGACCCGTAACTCGATTTATCGTCTGTGTGAGCTGATGGTGATAAATTAATATTTGCACCACTATTAATGATATCCCTCGCCGAGTCGACATCGGCTTTCTCTATGCACAGGCGAAGATACAGTGGGTTCTGTTTTTGAGCATCCCCCACACCACTACGAAAAGCCCAGGCAATGCCTGCGGTAAATTGTCTGTCTACACTTTCTTCTAAAATGTTCAATATGTGTTGAGGGTGAACGGCTAGAACAGAGGCTACATCGAGACGTTCGTAGAGGACAATTGCGAATGCCAAATCAGTTTCTATAAAGAAACTCCTGGAAGCGGCAAGTTCTGCAATAAAATTTTTTGATTTTTGTCCTGCAATTAACAATGGTGACAGATAATCCTTGTCCAATTTATCATCAGAATTTGATGAGCGTAGAAAGTCTTTTGTCGCATGATCTTTAATATACCTCTTGACATTCAGTCCCCGTGAAATCAGAAAGGGGATTAAAGAGTCCCTTTCACTATGGCAAAATGCAGCATCAAATAACTTTGTGACGTTGCCATCACGGGGAGAGATTAAAGGTCTATTGCATAACTTTTGTAAATCAATAATTTGCATCAGTATGTTAAAAGGAGTTTTTGTATTCACAGCTTTACAAAGATCCATGTAGGTAGGTAAAAATGCATCTGGTAGTTTTGGATGGAGCCAAATACGAAGCCAACGACGTTTAAAGCTCATGGACTGTGATACGATTGCACGAAACTGTCGGCAAAGAGGTGCGACAACATCTGGACGAGGAAGAAAAATTAAGATGCATTCTAAAATTTCTGGGATGAGATTTTGAAGAGTCCTTGAATGGTCGCTAACATCTTGTTTAATGTACAGATTGTTTAATTTGTAGATAACATCATTGTTTAAGGTATTACTTTGATGGGTATGGGGTTCAGACATTTTTGCAAAGAAAAAAGACACAGGTTGGCAGACGGTAATCAAATATGAGGAGAAAATTTGTTGTGTGGATCTGTAGATCACACGTATCGGGTATGCAAATAATTTATTTGGCAGGTCATGTTATCGTTTATTGTTGTCTCGTGCCAATCAATGAGCAGATAATCAATGAATCCCGTTAATCCCAGGGCACAAACGTAGGTACATGTGGTAAAGTTTGGGAACAATGGATCGCTATTAATAAAACTATGTAAAAATGTATTATGTGGGTACAGATTTGTATCAAAAGGGCGTATAAATAAACGAAAATTTGTTTGATACATACATACACTATGTACTTATTGCAAGTTTTAATTGATAATTAATTTTGGCCAAATTTCAACGTAAAGCAAATTAAATACTAGTTTGGTATTTCGTTATGCATTTTTCGCGAATATTTGCGGTAAGAAAAAAAAAAAAAGAGAGCTAGACAAAGAATTTATCCTACATAACAAGTTTTCTTTAATCATCACATTGCTTCCTTTTTGAACCCTCCTTTGGCATATCCCGCATTTACATATGAATCAATGTCACTTATTCGATTAATGCATTTAGTATAAATCGATCTTGTTTTGCTCCTTTTTTTTTTTTTCTTTTAATCCAAAAATTTCCGTTAGTTGCGGCGATAATATTTGACCCTTGATAGAGGATTGGAATTAACTTATTTCCATATTTATTATAATCATAATCCTCTTTCTCTTATTATAAATACTCCTATCGATCCTTTTTTTTTTTCTTAAAAAAAAAAAAAAAAAAAAGGAACCAGCAGGCTGGAATGATACTAGGTCTCCTGATACCTTAACCAAAATAATAAAAGAAACAAATATTAAAAATACGGTCGATTAATCGACATTACCGTGCAAAAATTAATTTCTCCGTCTCCATCTTGAAAAGAAGAAGAAAAAAAATAATAATACATATTTTCGTAACATGTCTGCCCAAGGTGGAGGGGCGACTTCTGTAGAAGTAGGTAGGTTGTGTCAAAACAAACAAAATAAAACAATTCATCTGTTTACCTTTTCGTAGTGATACCCGGATATTCTTTATCAAATTACCCTCGTACATACGTATCCTTCATTAATATTACGTAATCATAATTTCATACTGTGTTAGCACTCAGAATTAAACCACTTACGCCCGAAGATTTGGAAAAACTACCAGCAAGATTTCAGCGTCAAGTTATATCCGCATCAGACAAGCCAGGACAAGTGATAGTCGAGGCGGACAAGAGAACGATATTTCAGGTGAGACTGATGCCCTATCATGAAACCTAAATTAAATTTAGTGCCAAACCACTCAACATTTTAATTTATACTTTTTTCTACAGTTTGATCATATTTTTGGTCCAGAAGATGGGCAAGAAGTAGTTTATGAGAAAGCCGTATTAAATTTGCTGGAAAATTTTTTGGAAGGTACTTTTTTCAAGCATTCTATATCAGACCTGCAGTAATTACATCCTCTTCGTGAGGAGTTGCTATTTCTAAAAAAGAATAAATTAACTTTGATGTATTTAACGACATTTAAATTTTTTCGTTTCACTTTCGATGTTTCTCGTTAGGTTACAATGTAACAATTCTAGCATATGGCCAAACCTCGTCGGGGAAAACGTATACGATGGGCACGGCCGATAACGAATCCGTACCTTTGGAATTAAAGGGAATAATTCCTCGTACAATGGCCACTCTCTTCGATTTGATCAATTCGAACCCGAATAAATCTGTTGTGACTGTTTCTTTCATCGAAATTTACAACGAAGATTTAATCGACCTTCTTGGAGAAGGGCAAATAGAAGAGAGGCCATTGGTACAGATTCGTGAAGATTCGAAAGGAAATATTTATTGGGCGGGGTTGAAAGAAATCAAGGTTACGAATGTTCACGAAGTGATGGAGTGAGTAGAAAATGCGACCATTTCATGCCGGATCAATTTCTCACCACAGATCATCTTTTGTTTGTTATTAGACATTTATCACGCGGATCATTAAACAGGCAAGTTGGCGAGACAGACATGAATGCCAAGTCTTCTAGGTCACATGCTATTTTTTCGGTCTCTATGGTACAACAGAAATTCCTACCTCACGGTACCACGGGTCCACCAGCAACACCGCCGCCTGGTTCCAGGCCCGTAACTCCTAAATTTTCAAGTCGTCCACCTTCAAGAGCAGCTTCAGCTTTAGGTAAAACTGACGATGGTGAGTGGGTGACTGTAACTAGCAAATTTCATTTTGTCGATCTTGCGGGAAGCGAAAGGGTAATGATATAATTACTTTTCAATGATTTCTGGCGATTCTGATCTATGCAAAGTACTAACAATAATCTTTTTAATAAAGTTAAAACGCACCGCGGCAAGTGGTGATCGTGCAAAAGAAGGAATATCTATAAACTCTGGTTTACTTGCATTAGCAAACGTTATATCAGCTCTAGGAGATCAGAAGCATGCAACGCATGTTCCGTATAGGGATTCAAAGCTTACTCGTCTTTTGCAAGATTCTCTTGGTGGAAATGCACAAACATTAATGATTGCGTGTGTATCACCAGCCGAGTTCAATCTCACTGAAACATTAAACACTTTAAAGTACGCGAGTCGTGCTCGTAGAGTCAAGAACATGGCCGCGATAAACCAAGAAGAGTCCGGATGGAACGATGTGGGATATTTACAAGGTTTAGTGACAAAGCTTCGCACAGAAATATCGACTCTAAAATCCACCATTTCTTATGGGCATCACCAACTTCAACCCAATGAAAGTGCTATTCCCGGACAAGTTACACCGACCACACCAACTATGTCAACTTTTGCTAACGGAATTAAGCTTACAGGAAGGAGCACTCCAACTGGTAGAAGCACTCCAACTGGTAGAAATACTCCAACTCCCGGGATTCCTGGAAGAATTACTCCAACTTCTGGTATTCCGATTCCCGGAAGAAATACACCAACTTCTGGAATCCCTGTAGCTGGAAGAATTACGCCAACCTCTGGAATCCCGGTTCCTGGAAGAATCACGCCGGCTTCGGGGATTCCAGTTCCCGGAAGAAATACATCGGCATCAGGAATTCCAACTAAAAATGCTTCATCAAACATTGCCAATGGTAGAGAGACGCCGCTTCGCAGGAGACCTTCCTCGCCTTTGTCCCCTTTCACGTATGGTGGTAATTCACAGTTGTTCAAAGATAGAGAAATTGAGGCATTGGAAGAAGAACTATGGTACCTCCAACAATCATTCGCGGAATTATCTCAGAAATATGCAATGACGTCTGCACAGTTAGCGATGCATCAGGATAATGAGATGGAAATGTTGAGAAACGAACCAAGGATCGAAGAATACAAGGAAAAGATATCCTCACTTGAGAATAAACTTACAGCTGTTAGCAAAGCTCTCATTCAGTCGGAGAACTCGCTGAAGGAAAAAGAAATCCAAATAAAGAACTCCGAAGAACAGAATAAAACAAATGTAGTTAATCTTGAGGGTCAAATTAATGACCTTGAATCAAAACTTCAAGAGCGAGAAATTGAGGCTCGTTTAAAGGTGACACGTGAAAATTTACCTGAAACATTCGTCAGCGAAACTGTTAAACTGTTGGAGAAACGTCTGGAAGAGAGAGAGGCGGCATACGAAGATCTAGAGGCAAAATATAAAAAGGTCAGCATGAGCGAAATCAAGACTCCAATAATAAATGATTATGATCATATAGAAGTTGAAGAGTTGAATGGCGTGATCAAAGCTGAGCGGTGCATCGACGCAGATTCTACAGGTTCCGCTTCTGCTTCTACCAGTTCGGATATTCACCATGATATTGAGAAAGAACTTTCAGAGTTGAAAAAAGTTCACAATTCAACTGTCGAACAATTCAACGAACTAAAGATTAAACAACAAGAATATATTGATCAGATCGAAGAATTAAAATCACAACGTGAAAAGTATAGCGTTGAAATTAACGATTCACGCCTCGTTGAAATGGAAAGCAAGTTGGAAGAGTCGAAAAAGGAACACGAAAAATCGGTTCTAGAGCTTCAGGAGATAACCTCCAAATACAAGAACTGTCTTCAGCGTGTTCAAGACCTCGAGATGCAACTTGAAAGCCACGTTTATCACAAAGCGATAGATGAGTTACGCTCAAATTCATCGACACCGATGACTCCAATGACTCCAGGAACTCCGTACATACAACAAAAGGATGAAGACTCTAGCACGATATCTTCTTACCCTCGACCTAACGCCCACAGGAAATCAAAATCATTATCCATTGACATAGTAGGCGCGGAAAAACGTGATGTTATACACTCTTCGATTGTTGAAAAATTACAATTCGAGCTTCAGCTTTTTGAGTCATTTCACAAAGATAAGACTGAAAGTTTAAATAATGTGAAGGAGGAGTTGGAAAAGTTGGAAAAGAATCATTTCGAAACTCTCTTAATGGTGGACGAACTTCGTGAAGAAATCAGAAGACGTGATGCCGAGGTTGAACTTAAGAATGGTAACAGCATGTTAATGTTGCGATCTCAAGAACCACAGCAAATCATGGATCATAAATTAGATAACGATAAGATAAAGATGGATGTAGACAGTAGCAAGCATACGTATGAAAAACGAATCAATGAATTGGAAGAAGAACTAGGGAAGTTTAAAGACTTATCTACGAATTCACATGACGAGAAAGTGTTCACAGACCTTAGAGATAATGTGACTAAACTACAGTCGGAAATTGAAAAAATGCGAATGTCATGTAATGAACACGAGAGTACTATACAACGTCTCGAAAGTGAGCTTAGGACAACCAGGAAAACTGTCGCTCAAGAAAATAATAACGGGTTGTCAACCACCGCAGAACCCGTTGTAAATATCACGGACTCTATTGAAGAAGGTTCTTCGGCGGATAAACTTGAACAAAACGTTGATGAAAATGTTGTAGCTTTGGAGGATACAGTGAAGAATCTTGAGGCTCGGTTAACCAAAGCTCAAGAATCAAGTTATACCAAATCACGAGGTTTAATATCAAATCCTGGCATCTTTGATCACGCACAGAAAATAGTTAACACTCTTCAATCTCATCTTTCTGAATTGCATCAAGAATTCTCGAACAGTTCTGAAGCATTGCAAGTTCTAGATAATTCTAAGGATTTGACGAGCACGCTACATTCACAACTCGAATCTATTCAATCTGACTTCCAGCAGAAGGATAAATTAATTGAGTCACTAAAACGAGATTTACCGGAGCAACCTAGTTCACCAACAGAGAAAAGGGAAAAAGAAGTTGAAATTGCTGAATTAACGAAAAAATTGGAAGACATTATGAGTCAGAATAATGAAATGAAGAAACAGATTCAAATTCTCCAGGCTCAAGTTGATCTTGAAGAATTAAACTCCTTGAGAGAAGAATTAACCGTTTTAAAGGAAATAGAATCTCAGCAGAGGAACACGATTGTACAATTACAAAATCAACTTCAAGAAACCAAAGACTCTAAAGATTCAATAACTAACCAATGGGAAAGTATGAGAGAAAGTTTTCGAGCTCAAACAACCACACTTGAAGGAAACTTACAAACGATGATGGAAGAATTGAACTCGACTAAAGAAAATTATGCTACAGGTGAAGAGAAAATTAACGAGCTATCGAAAATTTTAGCAACTACCATGGAACAACGAAATGAATATGAGAACAAGATTCAATCCTTGGAGAACGAGATTAGAGAATTGGAGTCAAAGAAAACTTATAGCGTCGAAGATTTCGAGTCACTTCACAAGCAATTGATGAACACTAAACACGAGATGGATAAACGGAACGACCTTTTTGTTGAATTAGAAAGCAAATTAAAAGAAATAGAGCAGGAAAGAGATGGTTATTCCGAAATTAATAAAGAACTTAATGACATGATCACAGGAAAAGATGTTCAACACGAAGAAACCACAAATACACTCAAGGTCTCAATAAAAAATCTACAAGAAGAGCTTGAAGAAGCCAAAAAAAACGCGCAAATGCATCAGGAATCTATGAGTAATCTTAGCGAGAAACTGATTTCTATGATCTCACAACTTGAAGAAGTTACAGCATCGGATGAAAGAAAGACCTTAGAAATAGAAGAATACAAAACCGTTTTAAGAGAAGCAAACTTTTCAATATCAGAGAAAGTACAAATGATCATCAAGAAGGATACGACCATTGAAGAACTAGAAACAGCGCTTCAATCGATCCAAGAAGAGAGCTCATCGACCATGGCGGTAGAATCTGCTCGCATTAAGGAACTCCAAGATCAATTAGAGGAAATTGAAAAAAAATTCCAATCAGCACCAACCAACGAAGAACTTGATATTGCCAAGAGTTTGGCCGCACAGAAAGCCGACCTTGCTAAAGAGCTGGAAGAAAAACTTAGAGAAATTGAAAACGACAAATCTGCCGAATTAGAAGGACTTTATTCTAATATTGACAAATTAATGAATGAGTTAGAAGGTGCTAAAGTTCGAGAGTCTGCGCAATCAGGATCGATCAAGGAATTAAAGGATGCATTGGCAGAAAAAGAAAGTAGATTGAAAGAATTAGATATCTCATTGAATGAGATGCAAACGCAACTTGATCAAATGAAAAAATCGGAAATCGAACACGTAGAACTAATTCAAACTAAGGAATCCGAACTACAGAAAGTTCAGAAGAACCTTGACGATGAAGTTTCCAAATTAATAATTTCCAACGAAGAGGTTGAGACACTCAAAGAGCAACTCGAAACACTACAGAACGAAATGGAAACTGCAAAAAATGAAACAGTCGTTAACAAAAATATGGCTATCGAAAGTCAATCATTACTGGAAGAAACTCGAAATCAACTTATTCAAACTCAAAAGGAATCACAGATTTATCAAGAAAATGTCGAGGAATTAAGAAAAAAAGCTATTCAACTAGAGAACGAAAAGAATTCTTACACTTTATCTAATGAAAAGCTTGAAGAACAAATCAAAAGATTGGAAGACGAAATAGATACTTTGGCCGTTGAATTTACCGATGTATCTGCCAGATATGAGGAGACGGTAATTCATCTAGAAGAGAAAACGAAACGGATCAACGAGCTAGAATCAGCTCTTGAAGATACTGTCAAGAATGAAGTCAATAATATCGAATCTGTTGCTAATCATAATAATACACAACAAGACGAATTCATCAAATCACTCCAGGCTAAGATCGCCGAGCTTGAAGGATACACGGAGAATCTCAAAACCGACACCGATGAAATCACGGAATTAAATAAGAAGATTATTGAACTGGAGCAAAAAACAAATGAAAAATCAGAACTTATTGAGAAATTGGAAAAGATGTTAAAAGAAAATAGTGAATCGTTGATAGATACCAGAAAACAATTGGAGGTTTTACAACAAGAGAAATTGGATCTTCAAGAACAAATTGAAACTTTAAGAGATCAGCTAAATAATGCACAGACCAACTACGATGAACTCAAGTTAACTACCGAGAAGGAAAAGAATGAAATGGAAACAATTATAGAAAAAGGGAAAAAGGAAAAGAGACAGGTAGATGCAGAACTTGCGCATTTGGAAAACCAATATGAACAACTTCAACAATCAAGAAAGAAAAAATTTGCCTGTTTTTAATTCGTAAAAAATTATTGTTATTTTATTACATTTGTAATTTTGTAACTAGAAATAGATTTCTTTTTTTTTTGTGTATATATAGTGTTTTGGCGTGTATTTGTATTTAAAAATTTTAGAGTTTACGTTATCAAAAATGTCAAAATACGTAATATATAAAAAATAAACAGTCTTTGTAAAATAAACAATCATAGAAAGGACCTAAAGGGCGAAAAAAATAAATAAACATTCTCATCGAAATATCACCAAGAGGCACATTCACATATAGTAAATGTATTTGTATTTACCCTACGATCACTCTCAGCACGATACTTCCATTTTGCTATTGATCTTTCCACATCAAAACCGTGACGCTGTACATCATTTAATAAAAACAGCAGCAATTAATAATCTTTAAAGAACGTTGTTACAAAACTTGTCAGGGTCGGCGCGGTATTATAAATTATTTTAAACGTCTTCATAAATAATTCAGTTAAAATTTTATCACTAAATTAATATTGTGACGGGCTAATGGGTTAGTTCGGCTCAACTCAATAAAACAAAAAAAAAGGATTGGGAGGCGTGAGTTTACTTGACCGATTATTTATTTGACGTTTTATCTATGCGTTTTTTTGGCATATTTTTTATATATTTTACAATAGGGAATAAGGAAATTGGAAAAACAAGAAATTGTACGTGCTTTAAGTCATTTTACAATATTGCATTATAATATTAAAATAAAAGTTTTCAAGTAATTATCATCAATAAATTTTGTTCAAAATATATTAAAGAACTTAAATTTCAATTAATATTTAAAGTTTTTATTTGATTAAACATATATTAGCAAAAATTATTAAATTAAATATTAGATATTTATTTAGATTAATTAAAGAAGATATACTGCAATTATATAAAGTTTGTTTAAAAAGTTTTTGGACAAATATTTTATAATAAATAAACATTTACTGTATTTATTATTTGATATAAATTTTAAAGATAAATTTTTTAGAATATAAAAATAAAATAATAGGTTTTTTTAATACTTTATTAATAAATTTATCTTAAAATTTAATTTTAAAATTAAAAAAAGTTTGTTTAAAAATTTTTTAAAAATTATTTATTTATTAATTATTATTAATTATTTATATAATTATATATAGTTCAGTTTAAAAAAAAATCAAAATTCAATTTTCTTATAATTTGATAAATAATCATTTAAATTAAATAAAACTTTTAATGTATATTATTTATAATAAAAGAAATAATATATTAAAGTTTTAATTAGTAATTTATTTTAAAATATCAATTTAAAGTTAAAAAAATTTTTTTTTTAAAAATGATTACAATTTTAAATATAGATTTATATTGATTTTAATATAAAATATAAAAAATTCATAAAAAATTTTAATTAAATTATTAAATAAAAAAAATTTTTTTAATAGTAAAATTATAAAAAAATTAATTTATTATAAAATATATTTTTATTTAATAAATTTATCTATTGAGATAATTTTAATAATTTTTATTAAATTAATTAATTTTTTTTTTAAAATTTTTTTTCAAGTTTAAATTTAATAATATTTTAATAATATATTTAAAAAAAAGTTTATTATGTAAAATTATTTTTTATATTATTAAATATATATATACAGTTTGGGACAAAAAAACCGACACTCAATTTTTTTTATTAAAATTAATAATTTTATTTATTAAATAATTTTTTTAAAAAAATTAATTTAAATTATTATATCATTCTTTTTAAAATCTTTTGTATTAAAAGCAAAATCAATATTAAAATTACTTTCTACTTTACAGAATTTGAACATAAAATAAAAGATGCAATAATAATTTTTTAGTAAAAATTAAAATTTTTCAAAATATTGATAATTAAATAAAAAAAGTTTTTTAATACAAATTATTTTATTAGTTTAAAATTATTTAAATTTTTATTTTTTTTTAATTTAAATAAATATTTATTAAATAATAACAAAAATAAAAAGTGCCATTATTTTTGTTCCATATTGTATATATTCACAATTATTTATTTATTAATTATTAAAATTATAAGTAAAATTAGAAATATAATTTATTTTAACCTTTTCAACAGATTCAAATACCACTTGCTTAATATAATCGATGAAGTTGTCAACTAACCTCCTAACAATAAACATATCCTTTAAGAATTTAATATTTCTACCAATTATTTTCCCCAATCATTACTACAAGATCTCGGCTCACAATAACATTATCACATTCAATCACACAAAAGTAATTTATTTATAAATAAAATTGAAATAAGACCACTCAACTTTTGCTTACCACCAGGCAACATTCTACTAGCAATCTTTAATATCATTCAGGAAATTCCAGCTTACTCCATCATTGAAATCAAAAGCAATAAAAAAATCCTTCAATTAGTACCTGAGTACAGTACCTGAGAAGAATGGTTAAAATCAACTTTTCTTCACTATCCTAGAGAATAAATTAATATATATAACAGAAATTCATAGAAATTATATATACCAAACCTAAGTTCAGACCAATATCAATCAGAACTATTCAATGGAACAATCACCTACTACACTTTCCTGAAAATCACCTAATCAACAATACTTGCTTAGGAAATAGCATCAAATGGTGCAAGAAAATTTTCAGTATTACTAGAGACTATATGGTATATGAAAGCTTCTTAGTTGTTCAAATGTTCAAATGAACACATACTCCGTACAATCTAAAAGTCATCAACCAATCCAACAAAAACATCAGAAAGCTTCATAACAACAAATACAGCATTCTAATAGCCTTCAGAGTTAAACTGCTCTCAGGAACTCTTCCAACTCATCTTACACTCCACCAACTCATCTCATACTCCACCAACTATATCCTAACCAATACTCAGATACCTTCTGTCCACGATACAAGCTCCACACTGAAGATATTCAACATGTTTTTAAATACCCAGAAGCATTACAAGCAACTGAACAAATTATAAAAACTATTAA